CATAATGCAGACTGCAATGGTTCACAGACAGAGCAGACAATGACAGACCACACCCTCCTATAACACACAACTTAAACACTGATCCTGTGCTGTATTTGGCTGTCAGCTAACACTTGATACCAATTAAAGAAATAAAATCTGAGACGGTTAATAGGCTGTATATTTCTATGATTCACTTCACAATCACAGAAAATTTCAACATATGTTTCAAGCAAGCTCTCTAATGACAGAAGAATAATATCTATCATACCATGTTTTATTATATTACACTCAGCTAATAAGCTTTATGGATGTTTTGATCATAATAAACCTTATTCGTGTAGCACCTTACATACAACAAATGCAGCTCAAAGTGCATCACAACAAAGAAATTACATGCTTCACCTCACAAAAAGACAGAACTGTAAATAATAGATACAAATTACAAAAATGACCCACTTGATTGTGACAGTAAAAAATAAACTAAAATAAAAAATAATATTAGTAATAATTGATGTTAGTGTTACTGAATGAAAACATTTTCGTATCGTAGTAGTCTTAGAATTAGCATTAGAAAAGTGGAAAATTAGGTCACAAATCCTAAAAATAAAATGTTTCCCCAGCTTGAATTCAAATTGTCTATTCATTATCTGCAGGGCTTTCAGTCCCCACAGCAAGCAAAATATGTTTATTGGGTTCAACCTTAATAAAAAAAAACACATACACTTTAAATCTAATGAAAACATTTGCACCATATGGCATCTTCAAAACAAAATTAACTGCAAGAAGAGCTGACTGAACCACCAAATGTCTAATCCAATAAATCTTTCTGATGTCAGAGGATGATCAACTGTTGGGAAACTGTAATGGCCCCTTCAAGCTTTCAAGCCTACCAAGCAGGCTCTGCAGGAACAGTGTGATCCCACACAGCCACTGCCCAGTGTCATTAACTGTTGTGTCTAAGAAAACCCTCGTCTTTAACTCACTCCTCAAGTTTACAGTCTTTTGTAAAAGCCTGCATTGAATTTCAGCCTGACCCAAAGCAATTCCTCTGTCCGGTGTACTATTAGCTCTAATACCTAATTAGTGTGGCATTCTTACAGCCGGAGCAAATAAGAACTTACACGCATGCTCCCTGTGATTGTTATGCTTAGTCGCCAAAACTCCTAAACTCACGCTTCTGCCAAACACAGTTGAAAACTTCATACAGCATTACTTTGATGTTGAAATCTGTCAATTTATTTTTTAACAGTTCACCCGAGGTCACGCTGGTGGTGAACAAGTGCAATCAAACACACCACAAGGTGCTCACTCACTACAATAAGCCCGTACATCTTTTTCCTGCTGGTTTTATCTTTTATCTGGAAGTGATTGATGACTCTGAACAGTAAGCCAGACACCAAATGACAAGCAACCACACCAATATAACCTCAATAGCAGTTATGACAACAGGAAGTTCCAGTACATTTGTCTAAACATCCACAGTTAAATATGAAAATGAAACAATCCTACATCTTGATGTTGCGAGACAAAGACAATTCTGTTCGTTACTTTATAGCTGGCCTACTTGCTGTTCTGTTTACTGGTCTGTTTGGTTGTGTTTGTTTGGTTACTGTTGATGATTTTGCTATGAAACAGTCTTCTTCTGACACTGTACGCATCACATGGAGGGAAGCTTGGGGCTCTGGGTGAGCCCATCAACTGTAAATAAAACGAAATTAATGATACAAAAAAAAAACAGGGATGTTTACTGCGCTTAGCCAGCGCCCTATAGGAAAATGTTTCGGCTGTGGAGAAGCAAACAAACTTTTATGGAAACAAAAAATACGGTTCTAAGCCGTTTTCATGACGGGGAAGACAAATTTACACTGAGAACTATTTTGTTTTAAGAAGGTGGAAGGAATTACTGATGTAAAGACACATTTCTTAACCTTATCATCCAGTCAAATGTACTCAATTACAACGCTTATTATGGTATCGTATACGATGATTTCCACATACAAAAACTTCTACAAACTAACTTCCTCCCACATAAAATTATTTCAGATTTTTGTGAAAGTGTAAATCATCGTCCTCTCACACAAGCAGTCCACAACTCTGCAAAGAAATTATGAGCTGATAATGTTTTTTGCTAAAGCTTGCAACCTGTTTTCTTAACTGACCTTTAGTAAATAAATGTTGATAAATTCTTTCTGTTTCAAAAGTCGAAGCTCTTTCTGTCATGAGCAGACCGATGTAAACAAAGCAGATGGAGACAGGGTTGTAGGTGAGTAATGATTAGCCCACCAGCTGATCTCAAGTTTCTACCAAGATCACTCAATAACCACACATTGATGAGCAGAAGAATGCTGATAAGAAAAGAAAATGCCACTAGATTTATTTACTTTTACATATAAGACACAGTAAATGTGGCAAAATGGTTGAATTGAGACTACAAATGAAAATCCTTAGCATTATTGTGAGGCTACAACGCAGCGGTAAATTCTAAAATTTTAATGTAAACTTGGCAAGACAATAAAAAAAAAAAAAAAGCCTTACCCTTCCTTGTTAAGTTCATTGTTCACGCAACAACAGTCGGGGAGTCGAATACCCCCCAAAAAACAAGATATAACATGCAAAAACTAACAGCGGAATGGTAGTTGGTGCTAGAAGAAACCACGAAAAATAAGTAAACTCATTGTGTGTCACAGCTCCTCAGCCTGAAGACAACAGCTACGGATTCCTAATGATGCTACATCATATGATCCCATTAGAGTCCAGTCAGGGCGTTTAAGCCTTATACCACAGCTGACTGACCCTGCTGGCTACGACAGCTGAGAGAACACGCTCACGGCGAGCGTTCAATACAATACACTAAACAATATATGCTATTTATTGTCCTTACATTGGGTCCTTGTGTGTGTGTGTGTGTGTGTGTGGGGGGGGGGGACGAAACACAAAGAGTTAAAAGTGCTGCTGTCAGTTTGAATTCAGCTGCACCAGATCTCCACAGGCCTGGCCTCCACAATGAGTGTGTATGATTTTGTCACCGAGCTCTAGCTGTCAAAGAGACAGTGAATAACACAGACCTCGTGTGTGTGATGGATTGGCTCTAATTAATGAGATAGACCCAAAAGGAGCAGCTACATGAAGTGACACGAGCTACGAGCTAACGCCTCACCCTGCTATGTCATTGTCCTCTCTGCCTTGAGACACCACACAGGTCACATGCAATATTCAGTCACTGATATTCCTATAGGTGATCACCCATAAAAATGCACAAATATATCATTTACTACACATTTAAAATATGATCTTCTATAAAAGAAACAGACTTGATTCCTCTGTTTAGACCTTTCAATTTGACAATAAACAACACAGACGCTGTAATAATCTGGCTTGAAATGTTTTTCCAGACATATTCCGAGCTAAATATTCCCATTTGACAGCTAAACACAAGAAATAATCCTCTAATCTAATAATCAACTGAGCTCATAAAAAAAAGCTCATAATAAAGCCTTCATCTTGGCTGCTAAAATTCAGTCTAAATGTGATGTCATGCAGGAAATATTCCCACTTTTCCACTGCAGGGATAAAGACAGTAAGACCAGCCAGTCACCAGAGAGAGAGAGGGGGCAGGCTGACATTTATTGAACTGTCAAGCAGCAATCAGGCAATGTATTTATCGTCCCATGAGCCTAAAACAACATCCAATCAGCATTGATCCTACCTTTGTATTTTTCCAAAACATCCTCATACGCTTGGAGGTATTCCTGTTCGTCCGAGAGCGGTGCGTACTGAGCCATAACCCGGGCTCCACAAACTGGACATTCACCAGCGGCGGACAGGCAGGGACACCGCGTGTGTGTGTTTGTGCGTGTGTGTTTGTGTGTGCATGTGTATGTGCTTAGGACTCAAGAGTGATCGGCGCTGTTGTTGCACTAAAGGAAACGCCCTACATCCCTCCCTTGTCTGCGGCCCGTCCAATAGGCGACACTTCCTCTCCGGAGTTCACTGGATTGATGGGAAGGACTGCCGGACGCGCTGCGCTGCAAGAAATGTCTGTCCTGAAGCAGCCCATTGATACAGTACTGAGTCTTAAATGTCATTATAATAACATCTAATGCTTATTTTTCTTAACACAAGAGGTGAATTCTTTCCAGGTGTCCGCCGATGTGCGCTACTTTTCACCAGAAGGTAAAATCAGATGTTAAAACCAGCCTGAATGATCCGCTTATTTCTTACAGTGTGTAATAATAAACGGCGTCTCTGTACCGGCTGGTAACACGGACCACTTTCTTTTTCATGTGTGTCCACCTGCCAGTGACTTAAAGACAACTTTAACTAGATTGAAGATCAGTGATGGGAATGATCTTTGCTGTCAGTGACCTATCAGCTGTTAGTCATGATCACACACACACACACACACACACACACACACACACACACACACACACACAGGTCCCTGTATATCAATATCTGCTGTATTGCATTTCTGACAAGGGTTTTTATGATATCAAATAGCCTCAAAGTATCATAATAAAATAGCCCCAAGTGACATAAGACGTCAATCTTTCAAGTATGCTATGTGCTACCAAATGCGAAACAAACAAGAGCTCCTGGTCAGAAAGATTGATCTGATTTCTCCTGTCTGACTTTTTGTTATCAACTTTTGGGCACAAAAGTAAATGCTTCCACCTCAGCAAAATAAAATGATACAAAAATGTGTCTTTAAGCTCCTCCTTATTTATTATTATTATTGTTATTATTATTTATTTTAAAAAAAAGAAAAATAGCTGCTTTTCATCTAATATATTTATTATTAAGCATCAGCGGACCGAAATACCTTCACATGCGCCACACATCCACGCAACCGCAGCCCCTAAATAAACCCGGGGATAACCAGGGAGAGAGGTGCACCTTAACCTATCGCTATGCTTACCTAGCTCCCGTATGCATCGCACATAACGCAGCACATTCGCACCTTGTTTTCCTCGTTACAGTACTACTATCACATACAAGGAAAACTGCCCCTCACTCACCTGCGATCCTGAGCACGGCTCTCTCCGCCGGATCCAGCACGGACCCCCCCTGGATTTTCCTCTTGGATCGCTCATGTCTGGGCAGGTTCCAGGGTAAAGTGTCCCCGGGTGCCGGTGATGCCGACCCAGATTTAACACTGTAATCATCCTCGTCTGAGAAATCCGCCGAGGAAGACATGGAGCCGTGAAGGGAAGGGTTCCCCGAACTGGAGCTCTGTGAGACAAAAGAAAACGGGGATCAAGAAAAAAAAAAACAGAACAATGCTTGTCTTAATTTTTCCACACAGCGCGAGAGCAACAGAGCACGATTCCCATTATTTGTCACCATCGCGGGTCAAAGTGCGTAATGTGACCGCACGTAAGGTGTGAGGACGCTCCGTGACACGAGCCACCAGTTCGTAAAGATCCATAACAATAAAAGATTGAGCCAAAAAAATCCAATGTGAAATCAATAGTATCTGGCTCCCCCGCCAGGCCAACAATAAGACTTACCACTGTATACATGGAGACCTGTCAGCTGGAAGAACAAGAAGAGAAGAAAAACAATCCTATTTTGCGCGCTATTAGCTTCCACCCTTTCAGTCACATAATTCGTGCGTCAATATCAAAAGGGTGCCACGCCCTTTGAGGGATGCTCCGGCCACGAGTTGGTCCCTTATCTGAGCACCGAGGATGTGGGGTGATGTCAGATCTCCAGAGGGCTGTGTAGGGATGGGTACGCTGTGTGCTGTCGAGGGCAGAGCTGGAGACTGTGATGGGAGAGCAAGACTGCATGCGTCTCCCCGCGTCACACCCGGTAGCCAACAACAACGGCAGCAGCAGCAGCAGCGCTCCCCCAGCATCAGCGACGGTGGTGTTAGAGCGCCATCCCTGCCTAAAAAACAAAAGGTTGCTGGGTGGCTACGAATACATCAAAAGCAAGGGTGGGGGGGGTAATAAGAGGACACGGGCTGCCACAGAGCTAACAACAGATGCACATTAGATTCCACAGAGAGAGAGAGAGAGAGAGAGAGAGATTGAGGGAGAGAGAGACTGCTGAGAGGGACACGATTACATAAGTGCACTACACTGTAGATGTAGGTGTTAACCACAGAGGGTACAGTTGAGCTAATTGCCTGAAGGGGTGGAGGGCACCAAAAAAAAAAAAAAAAGGATTGCACTGAATTTAAGCAGGTTTAACCAGGTTAACGAATATAAGGGGCAAATATAATGATTAATAAACTATTTATACCATTAAATGCATCCTTTGGTGGATTATCTGTATCTTTAAGCTTCCCAGACCTTTAATTCTAACTGTGAATAACACAATTACTCATAAAGAGAATTGAATGAATGGCCTTCTGTTGCATTTTCCTGCTGCACCCAGACACACCTGAGATTGTGCAACAGAACAAACACATCCCGATGAAGGAGGAGGAGAAGAAGAAGGGTGGGGTGCAAAATACCTGTATGACGACACTTAATTTGCTTAATGATAAAGCAGTATTTAAAAGGGCGAAACGGACTGCTGTGATCCAGAAGAGTTCAGTACTCATATGTGAACATTAAGGAGTCTGCGGCCGTTGCTCCTGGCTGTATTTATACAGGGATACAGATAATAATTTCTATTTTTAAGACAGCACTAGTAGTGAGAATCTGCTGGGTCGGTGTCAAGTCTGCAGAGCTGATAAAAGCAACACGCTGTTAATATTAGCAGCCTTTTCATCACTGCATCACTTTTCATCAGGATGAGACTCAGTGCTGTAGAGGCAGCTTAGGGTTGCATCAGCTTTCTGCTTATTCATAATAACAACAGCTAAACGATTCGAGGAAAAGTTAATGGTCATTATTATGAAATAATTATTAGTTGGGCGGCTTAAGTAATAACTGTATGTTCTTCCAAGTCAGTTTTTCACTTTATTTTATGTACAGGGATAAGAATAGTTGAAAGATTAGAGGCCCTCCCCCATCACTTCATACAAGGCTTTTCCTCTCCATTAGGGAGGGTCCAAAATTCTTTATTCTTTGTTAATACCTAATATTCTTTGCTCTGGAGCTGTTACTATTAAAAAATGCACATAAGGACATGACTATCACTCATTTTACTATCTTTGTCAGTAACATGTTAAAATACAGTGGCTACAGTGTCCATCAGAGAAGAAATTATTTTGATTGAGCCCTGATAGAATACTTTAAATTACCCATTTGCTAAATGTGCAGTTTCTATTCAATGAAAGTAAAAGAGGAGCACACAGAGCCAGACACATTTATAAAATATTGCATTCATGACTAGATTCATGTGGGTATTAAGCTCAAGTGAGTGTGAAGCCAAATGCTTTCATATTTTTAGTGTTGCGCACACACACACATACACATACACACACACACACACACACACTGTTTTCATGGTGTACATAAAATAAAAACAGAGCTGCAATCGCTCGTCCTGCTGTGAATAGAATATGAGAAGTAGCTCCCTTGCACTGGTCGGGATCATTTAAAGAGATAATAAGTTAGAAGCACAGACAACTATGGTTTCACCAAGACAAGGCGGCCATTCTGGATTATCCCATTTGCATAGTTAGGCTACACGTGCAAATATATCATGAATGATGCATGGTCACGGCTGATCTAGTTTATGCAGGACTCTTACATATTAAAGTCTACTCACTTACAACATGTCTTAGGACTATCATGAATCCAAAAATCTCCATATTGTTATTCTTGTTGTGGTTCACATAATACGTGAAAGTCCTCTGCCTTTTGTATAATAAGAATAACAAAACACAAACAGAGGGTTGTTTATCTTTTGCTTACTGCCAGATTCAGCATTAAATGGATTTTGTTCTACTCATGGCAACAAAATATTTGATTTAGAAGAATCAGAAGTGACTGTAACATGTAGCTGGCTCTGATCAAGGTGTTATGTATGTATGTTGTTTGCTGACAATGGCAATATGAAAAAGCAAAAAACTGTGTGTCTTATGTGTGTTATCTACAGCATTGTGACACAGCTAATGGAGGCAGGGTGTTGCTACAGATCAATAGATTCCAGTCAGTTCAAACATCATTGTCATGTCAAGTCTTGTACTAAATTAGACTTTTATAGCAGTAACAGCTATAATCCTTTGCAGTACAAATACAAGATATTTAACATTCTGGATACAAATAAATGACATTCAAAAGAAGACACATTTAAAAACACCCACAGACTTGGTGGTTTTGTGAATGTGGGATCAGAATTCTTTTCTCTGGAACAAGTAAACACTCAGATTAGAGCAGCAGAGTATAAGGAAAGCCCAACAAACCAAAGGGGTCCAGTGTGGTTTACGTTCCAGTAAGTACACATTTCCAACTGAGGCCCTGTGTTTCTTCAGCTCTAGGTTCCTGTAGTCGTTTGATCCCTTCCAGGAAGAAACGGATCAATATATGGGTCACGTGTTCTACTGTCTCTCTCCTCACCTTATTTTTTAACTGCACTATCTGACACTGATAAAAGTGTTTATGGAGAGCACAGTGCACTCAAGCAGTGCCGCCACGTAATTCACAGGGTGTATTATGTTCCCATGCCAACATGGTAAATTGTTAACAGATTTACAATGGATTAGAGAGGACACGTAGCAGCATGTCAACTAAGATCACAACAAACTAAATGAACAGATATCACAGAATCTATTCAAATGGAGAAGAAACATTCGACATTCAAACTGGAAATCAGTAAAATCAGTCAAGAGCTGATGCAATAACATGTTTGTTATGCACTTGTGACCAACTAGAATGATGCATAGATTTATGAATGAGTGAAATACTGATCTGCTTATGTAAGATATGTATGCCTACAAATATGTCACTTTATATTAGCCAAATCTATGTTTTAAGTTGGTGATCAACAAATATTACTTGTAACACAAAACTTGTATTTTTGATATATTATTTAAAGGTCCCGTGTGTAACCTTTAGGAGGAGGTTCAGGGATGTATTCATACCTATCATGAATATAGGAACCATTGTGTTTTTGTTACCTTAAAATGTTACACATTGGACAATTAAAGCAAAATTAGATTACTTATTAGAGATATGTTGAATTGTTCATTCCAAATAAAAGTATATAGTCCTTTGAAAATTACTTTGAGATCCCCATTTTCTTCTGTGTTAAACCTGCAGGTTTGGGATGCCCCAGTAGCTCACCTGGTAGAGCTGGTGCCCCATGTACTATCAGGTTGAGTCCATACCACAACATCTTGCGGCCCTTTAATCCATGTCATCCCCCTTGTCTATCTCCCCACTTTCCTGTCACTCTTCAGCTGCTACTATATACAAATGCAATACCCCCCCCAAAAAAAAAATGCAGGTTTATGTTTGATGAGATTGACTATAAAAAAAGTTAAATTCCTTTTTCCATATTTGTCATCTTATGATCAATAACTAAACAGTACAAACAGCAATACAAGGTAATGACTTCATATCACCTTTCACCTTTCACCACTGACCATCCTTCAAGAGTAGGGTTTAACACTGTAGACAAACACTTTCCTGTGTCCTTGTGCAAGTTACTGAATCCTTACCAGGTTCAAAAGGCACACTGATGCCCCTGTAGAGGAGAGCAAGCATAAAATAGTATCAGTATTAATCATGGTAACAGTTATGGGGGGGGTACCTACAGGTTTGCGTGTGGGAGTGACTTGTACAGACTGGTAAAATTCTGGCAGGACTCTCTTCTTCACTTTGCGTTTCCTTAGACTCGATGACGACTCCGGTTCGCTCTCAGGAATCTCAACCAGATTGGGCTTTTCCTCTGTCACCCGAGCATGTATGCTCCTTCTTGCATGACGTGGACTGTGCCTGAAGCCCTGGGAAACACGGACAACGGTCAAGCTGGCAACAGATGTACGCCTTCAGCAGACTTGGCAAGAGAAATTGAAAAGCTCTCATTATAACATGAATAAGAATTGTGATGTAATTCAGGTTTCTTAAGCTAGGGAGGGCACTGCTGTGGTATATGACCTAGATTTTTCATAGTCAGACATGTTTGAGAAAGATGATACAGCAACCCCAATCACTACAGGATAAGGAACCTTTCAGTGTAAAATTTTGACATTTTTTTCAATCACCTCTCTTCTTTAGACCCTCTGTGAGTCTTTCTTTAAGAACTGTTTATTATTGGACTTGATATGGAAGGTAATGATCAGTGACTATTGTTCAACATTAAGGCTCAGCAGCTGTCCTGCTGTTATGTCCTTGAACATGATACTGAATCCCTACCAGCTACAGTACTGAGCCGGTAGAGGATTCAGTGTCCTGTGGTTCAATAACATAACCTCCAAAGGAAGACCAGCTTTGCTTTTGGAACTTCAAAACCCCAGAGAGTCATAAAAAAGTAAAAGCATTATTTTTAGGCCTTTATTGAGATTTGCTATAATTACTATTCACTTTATAGTTTTAATGAAATTACAATCCTTGCTATAGGCTATGCCGGGAAGATCAATTACGTAAACACGGAAACTATCTCTACTAAGACAGATTTGGCCATAATATAAAATATTTCATCAAGATCACTTTTAAAGGTTGTAGTGGTTTTACTGTTTTCATGCATTTTGATCTACTTTTACATTTTCGTAGTTTTATTTTGAAACCAAAGCGGGTAAAACGGAAGCAGATGGACTGAAGAGCCACTTGACGCATTTAAGCATCAAACATGATTGCAAATATATCTAACGCATCATAACATAGAGTGGGTTTCTATCGACTCACTCACACCTCAGTTTGTTTCTGAGAATACGCTGTAAAGAGTTTCATCTGTCCTTAAAGGATGAAACTGCAAAATCACCTACATTATTTATTGATAACACATGCGCATTGCGCACATCATGCTCCTTAAAATAGTCATGCTGTAGTGTAAAAGTCCAAACAGGCTTTTGGGTCAAGCATTTCTCCTATTATTATTATTAAAAAGCTCTTAAAGCACATAAGGCTTTTACATATTAAACTCATGCTTCTATATAGCCATTAAGCATTACAGAGGACTCACTCAAACCCATAATGAAAAAAGTTCATCCTACCTCTGATCGAAAATGATGTGTCCGGAGGCCAACTACAGGACAGATTACAGATGTTAGAAAGGTATGATCTAACATAAAGTATGGCATGTCAGAAATCAACTATAGACATTTAAAGAGTTGACAATAATTCTAGATATTTAAGGCTACAAACTATTAAGACCACATCTTAATGTCTTCACAGTTAACGCCTACATGAGGTGTTTGATTTCCCTCCTGCAGCCCATACTGCAGATATAGGGCAAAGCTAGTGACTTTGCTGCTTGCTAGAAGAGATCAAACCGACTATGAATACATACAGAACATGCAGTGTACAGACATGAGCTTGTCGGGGATGAGGGGATGAGGGGAGATGCGGCTGGCCTTCCTGCGCTACTCACCGCGGCTCTTGGTGCGTCCGGAGAGCACAGATTTTATTGGATGTTTTCCATTACGAAGCCTGCGATGCCAGCAGCAGAAAAACAAAATTGTCGCTATAGTCCCGAGCAAAAGCAACAATAATAGCAGCACACATTGAATACTGTACGGCCTCAGCAGGACCAAAAACGCCGCAGCAATCATCATAAGGCTGAGATGTAGGACAGATCCCGCAGCCTCGCACAGCTGGCTCCTCTCCGGCCGTTATGTCGCTGAAAGCTCAGGATGAGACTAAAGACATACGTGATGCACCGCGGAGCACACCGTGGAAAGCGTGTAGGTTCAAAGTATACTCAGCCCAGACTATTGATATCATTATTGTGAGCTACAATGCATGACTCAGCAGAGACGCAAGTTTTATTTATTTATTTTTTTCCCAGCAGGGGCAGGGAGTCAGCAGATTCATCTGAGCATCGCAGTAATCTGCTGCAGAGTCTGCTGTCCAACAGGATAATGCTGTAATACTAAGAACAATGCTATTAAGACTTATATAGATGTGTATAGTCAAATGGGACGGTTTATAAGGAACATGGGTCTTTATCCTGATATGCCTACAATGCTACTACAATATAAAATAAATGGTGATGCAATATGTCTGTCTGACAGTTTAAATATATTTTGTTGTAGTAGTTGTTGTTGTTAGCATCCCTGTGAAATGTGCCATGTTGTACTGACAGGCCCTGAGGCAGATGTTATGCAGAGACACTTTCAGGATGAGGGGGGAAAAATAGAAACCAACCTAAATCATAATCCACCATGGGTTATGTAATTTTTGGATGAGCTGATATCATATGAAAGTCAGTCGAATGAAAGACTCAACACAAAGTACGAGGGGGAAAAATAAGTTTTATTTGCAATCTTTAAAAAAAAGGGATAATCCAAACAAAAAGCCCAGAGATGACATGATTAGTATGTTACAGCCACATTGTTTGTCAAGATGCATCCATATATGGAATAAATCAATATAACATGTGTCAATATGTATATATATATCTTACATGCTAAAAAAAAAACATACAATTATCACTAACATAGCCTACACACAAATTATTGCATATGGTTATTCTTCTATGTAGCAGCATGAAGTATAAAATGAATGTTATTACATCAAGCTGCATTTAAGCAGTAACCAAATATGAATGATTGTTTATCAAACGTGTATTTAAAGGATACGTGATAAATGTGGTGTATAGTATTATATATATATATATAACATCATAAGAGTATGTTCAGTTTGTGTCATATACCCATACAACTGATTGTGATGTCAAGTCAGTTTTATTTATAAAGCCCAAATATCAGAAATCACAAATTCAATTCACGAGGCTTTACAATCATCTGTACAGCACAGCACACGAAGTATCCTTAACCCTGAGTATGTTAACATGGAACACATGTACACATTTCACTGTACATACTGTTTGTATAATATATATAGTCATAGTTATTGTAATACATGTAAATAAACAGGTGTGCACTCATATTTTAATAAGATACTGGACAACCAAATAAAAGGGGCTTGGACTATTACAAATATCTATCATATTATACAAAATTATTTTTTTTTTAAAGTTCTGTTTTAGGTGTATAGTTCCACCATAAACTTATGTCCACATAATCACAATTCCTTTAAGTACAAACTATTAAAACACTTGTGCACATAGTTGTTACTCCCGCATGGAGACACTGAGTGGTAGTTGGCGACTGCTTCACACTTCGGCCCGGGCCAGATTAAAAACACACGGGCGGGGTGTTCATTCTAGAGCCTGTGCTGCCTCGGAAGCCAGTAACCCCGTCCATACGGCACACTCCGTGTAGAAAAAAGGAGCGCTTCTACATGACGTCGCTGACCAGCCTCGCTGCGTTTACTGTGATTTGTGGTGTTGTAAGCTAGCTACCACTCTTGTCAACTGACGAATAAACAGTAGGTAATGTGATATCCAGCTTTATTTACCTGTTTATTTCAACCATGTTTGTCAACTTTAGCGTGTTTACCTTACCTTTAGTTAGCTGGGGGAAAGACGTTACGACCGCAGACGTTAAAGCTAACATTAGCTTACCATTAGCACGGACTTTTAGGACCGCTTTAAAGTTGCCGGACAGACGGTGTCTGACAATACGAACCCAAGGGCCAGGCAGATGAAGTTCTCGGCGACACATCCGGATACTTCACGTCGATGTTAGTTGTGTGTTACGAGAAGCGGATTCAGCTGTTTGGCCATTTTAAGACATTTCCACTGTGGCGCGTAACGTCTTCCTCACCGGCCGGTTGGAGTGCTGTGTGAGCCGGTCGGCGCTCAGTGCTGCCACCGGTGGCCGAGAGCGGTACTGCAACAACATCGTGTAGCGCATGCATCGTTGTAATTTCGCTTCCACCCATCAGTGGCAGCACGGAAGAGCAGCGTCCCAGTGGGTCGGCGAGGAAGAAATTATACCCCCATGTTGGCTTTTGCATTGGTTGTATTGAGTCTAATGGAACTGAGCGGCATTGCGTCGGAGTAAGTCGTGTTTTTATTACTTTATGCAAGCCTTACATCGATGTGAGGTCTCCTTGCTGAGTATTATAAGTGCGCTCCGATGGTTTTTGAAACATTTGAACATTTGTCCTTTTGGAGCAACATGACGATAATATGAGAACTGTTACTCGAGTAGCTAGCTGACCCATGACGCTGTTTTCTGGCCAAATCCCATGCAACTATTACGATGTCTAAACTATTGTAAATGTTATTGTTAACGTTGTCTCGTTCATGGTTAGCTAACCTAAACCACCATTTAACTGTTAAGAGACGTGTTGGGAGGAGAAAGTGTTATTAACACAGTTTCTAGTTCAGGCCCAACCCTAAATATGCAGTAGCAGGCTACGTGATGCACTGTTACTGACACCTGTCTGTCTGGGTTATGTTAACTAGCACACACACTAGCACACACACACACACACACACACACACCTCCACTTACATTGGGGCCCCAGCTTCAAAAGTTACATTGTTTTTTACATTATGTTTTTTTTTTTCCCCTCAGATAAATGTCTTCTCCAATGCAAGCTGACCAAGATGAGGGGGAAGAAGTGGAGTTTGTATCTGTAGGTCATGTTTACACATTCAAAAATAAACAGGTTCAAAGGATAACAGAATCAGTTGCTGCTTACATTCTGTTTGCTGACATTGACCGGACTATCGATCTAACCTGATACTCAGACCTAATTGCCATTTTACTTTTTTACATTCATAAACATATTTATCTACTGAACAGTATAAGCTACAGCTCCTTATGTTGTATATCTGTAGCTAGATCACCTCTGTTTTCATCAGCATGTAGAAAATTAATAGTATAAATATATTACACATATATTAATGTAGGCATGTTTTATAACACTGTATGACATTGTGTGTCTTGTACGTGCTTCAGGAGGGTCCTGTCAGACCGGTATTGGAATGTATTAATCTAAGTAGTGATAGTGAGGATGAGGGATGTTCTTCGAGCACAGTGAGTGGCTGAATATAACACCTTTTATTTAATTAGATGGTGTGACTACCTGTTGTGTTGTCTGAAATTGTGCCTTTTTATTCTCCCATAGATTGAAGATAAAATCACCAGCCATAAAGCGCGTGTTACATCTACTCTGGACAGACTAGCACAGCAGGTGGCTTTAGAGAAACAGGAAAGAGCAAATAAATGTAGAGCATTCAAGGTAAGGTTGCTTCAATTTTAGACCATCCTTGTTTTCAGTTGTAGTAGTCAAATTTAATTCCTGCTTCTTTTTTTTTTTTAAAAACATAAGATTATATAAAAGTCAAAAAGTTGTATACTGTATAGTTCACACTTTCAAACTGTCTGGAATCGGGACTCAACTTTTACATTTAATCAAAGGAAAGTAGACAACACCTTATGCATTCTGTCAGATCTACCTTGAACTGCTATAATAGATCAAGAGTGGTGCAATATAATCAATTCATAATATTTTATTTCTGAACTACTCTGCAAAAATGTCTGCAAATGCCAGCGCTGGCAAAACTTTAACTACTTTATAACCAAGTTTATGTGTTTTGGTTTTTTTATTCATAGAGTAAATGTAAATAAAAATTCTCATTAGAAATCTTCTTTGTGTGGCGTGTTTGAATATATGTGGAATCTAGAAAAGCCACTTGTAGCTGCAACAGTGCCACCCTGTGGGCAGTATGGATATACAAGTAAATAACTGTCCTCCAGTATTACACTGAACAGCTGCAGTGTATTTGCTCCATAACATTGTACTGTTTGTCACTTATAGAACTAACATTAAACACTGTCTGTCAGGTTTCACTGACATTTGTCTTTCTGTCATATAAGATAAGTCTAAAAATTAGTTTTAAAAAAGATGGCAAAATATGTTCTGTTAAGTTATTTATTTGTTTTTGTTTTTTCAGGAGAAGCAAATCTTACAAAAAGCTCATGGACAGCAGGAGCTGGCTTTTAGTTCGACAAATGGAATGAATCAGGAGGCAAAACGCTGCGTTGACATGTGGTTAAAGATGCCAGGTACATTTTAGATCTGAGTCATAAAAATGTTGCATAATCACTGAAATTGTCACTCCTAAATGTGTCAGTATGTGAGCCGATTCAAGCAAATATAATTAAAATTTAAAAGCATATTTTGGTTGTTTTACAGGGATGATTCAAATGTAATTTTGTTTTAAGAGATATAGGCATGCAGCACCATTTTACAGTGCTGCCATGTGTTTGTAGAGGTCATTTGACTGACATTGTGCAACTTGTTGTACTGTACCTTTATGTTTATTTAGGTGTTCAACCTGGAAGGATCAGTACTGGTTTTGGAAGGAGACACAGACCTGCTCCATTCCCCAGAAACAGTTCAACCATACACACTTGTCCAGTGATCAACTGTGGTCGAGTTTATGACAATGTGCCCCTCCTCGAAGGGCACTTAAAAAGGTAATGTCTTTCTGTTCATTTCAGTGTAGGTGTAATACCTTTTGAACCTGTTTCCTGAGTGTGAATATGAAATATTTTCCAATAAAATATCTTGTGTGTAGGTTTGATCACTCCCCTTGCGACCCAACCATTAATCTTAAAGGATGTCCATCTGAGCTCTTTGCCTGTGCTGCCTGTGGTCAACATTTTGAGACTAAAGAAGCATGGAGGAAACA